CCTGCGTGAGAATGGAGAAATAAGGAGAGCGAAAGCTTTATAGGAAACAGTCTAATAACTCTAATGTCTGTAGTTTAAGTGTTCAAGAATAAAAGATATTTTAAAGGTATTAAACAATAAAAAAAAAAGTTCATCTTCATCTTTTATTTATAGGAATATAAGAGCTACAAATAAGGCAACATCTTGTAAAAATAAATAAAATATATAGCTTAATGATTCTTAGTACAGACTGCTTTAGACACGTGACACACTCTAGCTAGTTGGAGAGGAGCTTTCCTTGGCCATGATTATCTGCCTTGAGATTCAATAGTGCCGATTATGTATGGGTGAGTGCGTTAATGAGCCTTGAGCAGAGTGATCAATGACTAGTGAGCACCTTGAAGCCTCTGGCAACTTAAGTTGAGGCCCTAGGTCATGTGGGACTAGAAAGAGAATGAACTTAAGTTACATGGAATGTGGGCTCCATGGTTGGTTGGTTATGATAGGGTGAGTTGGAAGCCCCTTTCGTCCGTGTTTTTCTATAACTGAAGCAATGAGTCTAACTGATGGTAACTCACCCTTAATGAGGGTGAGAAACCTAAAAGGCTAGTTTCCCTAGGAGGCTAGGACCCTTGGTAGTTTGTGCGAAAGGTGACTCCATTTCAAGTTAGGTCCCTAGATATTTGGGGTTCCTTTGCGGAGCCTACTAGGTGTGAGCTCTTCTACCATGAACTGTTGAACACTTGCTAAATGCCTAAGAAAATATATGTGAGTATACATTTAATTTCCTAATTCATGTGACCCATTAGAAAGCATGAGACTAAATGACAAGTGAACCAAGGATGAGCATTAAATAGGACTGCCAAACTATTAAGGGAGAGTAAAATACAAAGTTACTTCCATTTTTTATTGTAGCATTGGTTGTTGCGTAGATTCCTATGAAGAATGTTAAAGTGATGCCGCTTGTGTCCGACCTCTATAAGAAGCAATTTGGTGGTGGGATCCTTTACTCCTTTGAACATTTGAATAAGACTATATAAACCTATGAGCATGATAAGAATGGATCCTGTTGAGTTAGCTTTATCAAATGTAAAACAAGTAAAGAATGTAGCATTTCGCCTTGGAAAAGATGATAAGGCTAAACAAGGTGCAAGTAACCCGCACCAAGTAAAGAAGCTGAGCGGTATGTCCAATCAAATTATATTTTTTTGTGCTACAAACTTCTTTCACCTTCCATCTGCTCCTCTATCATATGACCATGCAAAGCTAATATTCTTAATAGCTAGGGTGAATGTTTAAAGTCTGTCTAGTTGCCTATTTTATTTGAGATTTGGGTACAATTTAAAATAAAATTCGCCAAATAATTTATAAGCAATTTGAAATCCTACCTAAAATAAATCATGAATTTTGTAGGAATTGATAAATTTTTGCTCAATTTTAAAATTCATCAAATTCCGATAACAATGAGATAAAAGAAAATTACTTCAATATTATTTATTAAATCTCTCAAATATTCTATAATACAACCAAAAAGTCCAGCGTTTTAATATATTGGATTAGGAACTAAAATAACAAAATAGGTCTATCATAAAAATAAATAAAAAATAGTAAATAAAAAAAGGTCTATCATCAATAGTTACTAAAATCTAATTAAATTTTGCTTAAACATAATGTATTAAATTCATATTTACTAAAATCCTTCCTTGCCCAAACATGCCCATAGCGTGTTTTTAATTTTTATACTTTGCTTCAACTTGTTGGCTTTGTGTATACTTTGATTGAGTAGCTAAATGTTTATTTTGTTGGTTGGTAAAACTTTTCTATTTTTTATTTCGTTGGAATAATAAATGCATGCATTGACATAATATAGGTTCCTTTAACACAACTGTCTTACTATTTTTTAAAATAAATTTTAGCACATAAATTTTAAAGTAAAAAAATATTTGTATTAAAAAATTATTTCAGCTAAAAAGTTATTCCAAACAAATCCTTGTTTATACTTCACTACTTTATGCTTGCATTAATTATATTTATTTTGGGGAACACCCGATTTGGCTACTTTTTCAACGTAAAATTAATTATTCTATGTGGATACGGACGTTGTCCGAAGACGAATCAGAACGTGTCACGTCATTGTTTTGTTAAGTACCGCGACTGTGTACTAGGCGACGTGGGGCGTTCTGATTCACCTCCGGACGGCCCGATACAGGAGCAAAACACTTGAATAAATTATGTTGAAACATAATTATATGAGCACTTGGAATCTTAGAGTTGATTGAGAATAAATTTGAGAATTCTCTTCGACTCAATTCTAGCGCTCACACATTAAAAAAAAAAAACACCTAAAATCATCTGTGCAGTACTTAAACAAGATCGTTTACTCTGAGATTTTACGCAAATTTAATTACAAATCTAAAATCATCTGTGCTGTACATAAACAAGATCGTTTACTCTGAGGTTTTACGCAATTTTAATTACAAATTTATATTGGCTATGAAATTCTCGTTGTGCGTGACAGAAATTCTCGTCGTGCCTGACAGAGCTACATAAGATAAATCTGGATGTTGTTGCGAGAATCGAGATGCATTTTAATTGATTATTCATATATTATATTTATTTTAAAATAAATTTAAAAATGATAATACTTATTCTCCTTAAATTTTAATAAGAATTGTCGCGTTTAGGAACATTCACAGTGGTTGAGAGATAAAGAGCTTAACATCTTAACTTTGAACGAAAATCCAGCACACATATAGATATAAGAGAGGGGTGTGAGAGTCATAAGAGACCATAATTTTTATGTGCAAAACTCCGAAAATCTTGGAAATTGTATGGGCAATTAGCAAACTGGAAAATTGTATAAGAACCCACTGTTGGAGTTGTACTATATACAGGAGCTGTTTGCTTCCACTTTGCCCGTATGTTTTATTTGGAATTGGCGGATCCATAATCACATGAAATATACAATTGAGCATACATGTATATAAAATAAATAATAATAAACATCCGAATAGACTTAAAATTACCTACTTGACTTACAAATTAATTCATATAACTTTCTTTTATGATTCATTCCAAAACTATTGCTCTAATACCACAAAAGCTTCTCATAACCCAACCCGATCAGGACATGTCCTATCATGTTGAGCTGTGACAGACAAATCTCAATATCTAATTTTGAAGTATTTCATATTTTATTCTAATATTCATTTTAAATAATTTACATACAACATAGCTATTAAAACATCCAAATATTGAAAATAAACTCATCAACAAGATTTCTTTCAATTCATTAAAATGTATATACACAACAATACAAGACTACAAATAGAAATTATAAAATTGAATGATAAACTAGTCATGATTGTACAAAATCAATAAAAGAAATACATATAAACTTTGATCAGTCCTGAACTGCTAATCCGTAAGCTCCTTCCCTTTATTAGAGCCTAAAAACATAAGCAAAACTACAATGAGCTACAATAGCTTAACAGGCCACACAAAGTGATCTAAAGTTTTAAAATTCTTTTATTAAATATTTTACTTAATATTTAAAATTAATTAAATGCAATATAATAAATTACTATACTGAGAATATAATACTAGCATAATAATTATCTAATTATAAAAAATAATACTAAGTAGAAGAATAAATTGCAATTTATATCATATAGCAGTTCATATCATATTCCTCGGACCCAGATAGAATCTCAAAGGATTCTTGCCCCTTATGATTATCTTTTTTTCTTATAACACCAGAACATGACCCATAGACACTAGAATATTCTTTTACACATATAGAATCTCAAAAGATTCTAATTCCTTACGACTCCTAACATGTATTATTTAATCACACAGACACAAGGGGTGTCAATTTCGGGTTACGGCCCGGGTTCAGGTCAAACCCGAAACTGACCTGGCACTATTTAGGTCAAACCGAACCTGACCCATTTTTGCAAACGGGTTGATTTTCCGGACTCGAACCTGACCCACTTCGGGTCCAAGTCAACCCGACCCGACCCGACCCGAATGACTCAATGCCAACAAAAATTTGCAACTTTTCGAATCCAAAATGGGTCAATCTCCGCTTTTCGGGTCAAAAACATGTCAAAACGGGTCAATCAAGTTGTCGGGTCAAAAACAAATTTGCAGATTAAACCCAAACTCAACCCAATTTTTTAAAAAAGTTGAATTGTTGAACCCGAAACCGACCCATTTCGGGTCAACCCAAACCTAAAATTTTCGATTCAGGTCCAATATTGAAGTCATTTAAGTGCATTTATTAAGTCAATTTAAGTGTCTTAATGATGTCTGAATTAATCAGTCTTAGGCTCTTTAAATTTGTCTCGTCGAATCGCTCGATATATATATATATATATATATATATATATATAGAGAGAGAGAGAGAGAGAGAGAGAGAGAGAGAGAGAGAGTTCATTTGGTCAAATTAATGCTTTGAGCCTTCAAATATGCTTCAGTCCCTTGATTTGAGCCCATATTAGCTTGTTTTGGACCGATTTGTATCATTGGATTCGCCTTGTCGAGACATTCAATTTGACTATAAGTTTGTTGAAATTGGAGTTGGTCCTGAATTTAATTTAGAAAATTACGGACTCATATAAGCTTCGAGATTCATACTTGATCAAGATGATTTTTTGTGACGTATCAAGTATATTGTCATCTTTATATTATAACAATTTGATGATTACATATATTTTGTCACGATCCTAATAAATATAATTTTAGATTCTTTAATTAGTCAAATTGACCCCCATGATAAGAACAATACAACTTCCCTGTATCTGTTGTTTAATGCTGTAAGATTTTCCCACACTAACAAAGCAAATACTTTAATCGTGGTCTTAGAGCCTAAAAACTAAACTCAAACAGAGAAAATAGCTTACTTACTTAAGTTAGTTGGACTACAACACTGCAGCAATGTGGTACGCTGCTGCAATATAAGCCTAGCAAATAGCTAAAGTTAAATAGAAAACAAGCGTTAGTTATTTCCTCGCAAGCTGTAAAACAAATACAAGGTGTAACATGAATAATATTATCATCAAATGACAAACTCTGAAACTGCTTAAATAGAAGTCCCACAAAAGTTTCAATTCATTCTTTCCCCTATCCAAACTTAGACCAGCATAAACTACCTGTAATAAGTCCACACTCAAGAACCATGGAAACTTTCATCACTTGATGCGAATTCGGCATAACAAAACTACTTTGATAATGTTATTATTTATAACAAAAAATACAACATGATACAGGCTTAACAAAGCAGTTCACAGGAGAAAACCTCGACGAAGGTATCCTTCATGTTGGTAAAAATGTTGTTAGGAACTCCATTTTTGCTACCTTCAGCCTGGAGCATAATTTTAAAACGAAGCCATTAAAATACTTTGATTAAAGTTTCGTTTGGGATGGCTTTTTTGTTTATTCTTAAAGCAACTTTTTAGTACAAAAATTAAAAATTTTATACTAAAAAGGTGTTTTAAGAAACAATAAGAAAGTCGTCCCAAACGAAGCCTAAAAAAGAAAAAAAAAAAAAAACAGCTAAGGAATTGAAATCAAGATCACAGAATTTCATAATGATTTACCCACAAATAAGCTAAGGAAACAGAGGTTGCTGCTGCAAGCCGAGGTTTTCAGGATACCCCATCATAAGATTTAGGTTTTGTAGTGCTTGACCTGATGCTCCTTTAACTAGATTATCAATCTGCCAAAAAAGTGGGAGAGAAATAATTTAAAAAAAATGGTTGGTATGTTGATCTAACGATAACATAAAGCTCAAGAGTTCATATACCACAGAGATTATAATGGCTCTTCCTGGAATCCGATCTGGGAAAACATTCATAAAGCAGTAATTCGAACCCCGGACATTCCGAGTGTGAGGCACTGCTCCCTTTTGTAGTAGCTTAACAAAATCTTCACCCTGCGAGCAGAGAAAACCATATAACAATAAGAACAAAACTAAAAGGTGTTGATGGATTTCTTTTGTCATAGACCTTGAAGGCCTTATATGAACGCATAAAACAAATATTCCGGTCGACGCCTTGACCGTATATCTGCTTGATAATTCGCCCTCATTCTACGTATATAATTGACGGCTAGCCTTAATCGAAAGTTCTCTCTCATTATCGGGAGGGATAATTAACTATAGGGGCTTGCGCCTATAGGAAACCAGAACTCAGATCATAAAGTCCTCGCAAAAATGAGGGTGAAATTTCTGGGTAGTGTCTTATCTACAAACTCATCTGCCTTCCAAAAATTTACCCCTGAACTTAATCCGTTAAAACTCCCCAAAAAAAAAGCGGGTGAAGCCGGGGCCAAATTTTCGGAGCCCACAAAAGGAGAAGATAAGCAAGCCGCAGTCATTTTGTGTTATATTGTAAACATATTCATATGCATCAACACCAAGCCTTCATTAAATAGTATCAGAAATGTACAAGATGAAAATAAGAATAGGAGAATCTAATAACGTTTAGAAGTCCTTGGAAAAAATAGGATTGCGTTTGATTTGTTAGGATGCCACTCCCACTATAAACAATTGAATAATACAGCACTATATAATAGAAAAGAATTTAAGAAAGAAATATCATGATTAATTAGAACAAAGAGTACTTGATCTACTTTAGTTTTCGATTGGTGAGTTATCAAATGAATTTTGCAGCTTATAGCCTTATATTCAATTGGTACTAACCACATTTATGTAGCTTTAAATAAAGCAAGTTAAAATTCTTAGAAGCTGAAATAAAGTGTTTGATGTATGAGGGCAATATGGTGTCATCCAAATCAGTGAGTTAGAGGATACATACAACATAGTTTTGTAGTCTTCTTATGTGGGATACATACAACATATATTCAGTATTAGATATACTCAAATGAAAGCCTTTAGACTCTAAAGTTGACATATGTAATTCAAGTTTACCTTCAACTCCCTCTCTAGTCTTATCAATAAGAAGAATATCATCAGAAAAAAGCATACACCAAGTACAACCTCTTGCAAATGACTAGTGAGAACATCCATGACTAAAGCAAAAGGATATGGGCTTAAGGCTGATCCTTGATGTAATCCAACTAAAATAGGAAAATACTTGGTCAAAACCACCTTGTGTTTAAACACAAGTAACAACTCCTACATACATATCCTTAACGACTTGAATATAAGCATTATTAACCCCTTTCTTATGTAGAACTCTCCATAGCACTTTTCTTAGAACTTTATCATATGCTTTCTCTAAATTAATAAAAATCTTATGTAAATCCTCCTTATTCTCTCTATACTTCCCCATCAAACCTCTCAATAAATGTATAGCTTCCATAGTAAACCTACCTAGAATGAATCCAATTTGATTTTGAGAAACATTGGTGTCACACTGCAACCTATGCTCCATAACTCTCTCCCATAGTTTTAAAGTAAGACAAATTAACTTAATTCCTCTATAATTCGCACAATCTTGTGCATCACCTTCACTATTAAAATTAGGAATAAACATACTCATTCTCCACTCATCTGACATCTATTTAGTCTTAAAAATAATATTAAAAAGTTTAGTAAGCTAAGAAATTCCTTCATCTCCTAAGCATTTCCACACCTCTATTGGGATATCATCAGGTCCAACAGCTTTTCCACGCTTCATTTTCTTTAAAGCCTCTTTAGCTTTGATTTTACTAATACACCGATAAAAACAAAAAACTTTACTTTCATTTAGAGTGCTAAGATCATTGAATTCAATTGCATTCTCATAATCTTCGTTAAAAAGTTTAGTAAAATATCTCATCCACCTTTTGTTGAATATCATTTTCTAATAAAAATACTTTTTGATCCTTAATGCAATTCACTTGAGCTAAATCCTTACTACTCCTATCTCTTTGTTTAACTAACTTATACATATATCTTTCGCTCTCCTTAGTATATCTATTATATAAATCATTAAAAGCTAAAAACTTTGCATTGTAAATCACTTTCTTAACTTCTTACGGGCATTTTTATATCTTTCTCAATTATCAAAGTTTTTACAGCTAAACCAATTTTTATAACAAATCTTCATACATTTTATCTTTTTTACATGTTTTGATTTCACCACCAACTATTTTTACTATTAGTAGTTTTTCCTTTTAATAGTCCAAGCACATCTTTTGTAACATTCTTAATATCACTAGCTCCTTTTTACCACATAAAATAAGCTTCTCATGCACAGAAAAAATCTTAAGATCTAGAATCTTACTCTCAAAAATATTTTTGTTAATATTCCTTAAATGACCCATCTATTCTTAGAACAACAATTTACTTTATTTTTAATATTATGCCCCTTAATCTTAAAGTCCAAAACTAATAAACGAAAATATTCGGATCATCATATGGGGGCATTAGCACACTACCAAACTTCAATCTCATTACTAAAGAATTAAATAATAGCAGAAATTGATCATGCAAGTCAAGAAATTTTTTTTTAGCTTTAGGTTTTCTTCAATACCTTAAAAAGATCAAGTGATACAAAAATGCTATAGATTTAAGTACCTTAGATCTTAACATGAATATAGAGGATAATAGTATTTTTATATTTAAACCTGAGTAATTAAAGGAGAAATACGATAGGTAGAACTATTTAAAAGAATAAATCTTGAAGACAGAAATTTATATAGACCAGCTATATAAATGCAAATATTCAAAAATAAATGTCACTTATTACCAAGTGTGGAAGAAAGAGAATGTTAAGACGGATGCATGGTAAACCTAGAAAGGATAAAGCAAAAAACAATTATATTGGAAGGGAAAAACCAGTGTGATGTGATGAGATTGAAACAGAAAAGATCGAAGTAAAAACTATTAGAAGTTGCGCAAAAAGTGTTGTGAAAACAAAAGTTAGCTAGTCATACAGGTCTAAATCACAATAATGCAAATAGATAAACTTTAGCAAAAAAAATAGTGCTTTCGAAAGACATTGTGTCTTATGAGAATCAATGAAAGTTAGCTAGTCATATAGGTCTAAATCGTGCGCCCGAACGTATTATATAGACCTTAGGTGGGTATACGCTTTGGATAATTACTTTAAATATAGCAAAGAGGGAATCCTTCCATTAAATAAGGAAATATCAGAAGAGAAAAAATGATCATTTGATCTCCTTTAATTTCTGCATAAACCTTAAGAAATTTTTTTTATATTATTCTTTATGACTTTTAATAAATAGAGTGAAGTATCCAAAGTGTAGAAAATTTTAGATGGTCGGATGAATTTAACACCCATTCTGCATGCACAACCAACTCCTAATGCATAAAATTAAGCAACACCATTCCAAAATGATCATAAACCATAGTAATGCAAATAGATAAACTTTAGAAAGAATTTATAGCTTTTGAAAGAAATTGAATTTTATAAGAATCAATGAAAGAGACCTCAGCGGGCTCAAATCATAAAGTAACAACATCTTCGCAATTTAAGAGTAAAATAGCATGCATCAGTTCTTACATTGACAGGAGCCTCAGACACAGGGAACGCCATTTTCACAAAACATGCCTTAAATAGAATATTCAAGTTGAAAAGATCACTAATCAATAAAAAAAAACAACACAAATACCTCATAAGCGGCCATTAAGTGTTGATACAAGTCATCATGAGTTACCCCAACTGACATTTCCACATAAATGGTAGATTGCATTCCACGGCTCTGTTAAAAACAGATAAAATAATAAGAAGGCTTTTAAGAGAACATAACTAGATAAAATAATAATAATAAAGATAAATCTGAATTGTATACTTACCATTGGTATCAAATGAGGAGTGAAGCTGACCGATACATTAGAATGTGAAGCATCTGAAAGTCCTTGTTCAATTTCTGGAACTGATATTATGAAAGAATGAGTCCATTAATACCCTTCCCAACATAGGTCATATATTATCATAGAGATATTCCATATTAGAAAATTAGTAATGAGTATATATTGTCAAAAAAATATAATGTATTTTCTTAAGAAGGCTACTTTGGTTAAGGCTACATTTGGGATAGCTTTTTTGCTACTTCTTAAAACAGTTTTCTAGTACAAAATTAAATTTTTTTACTAGAAAACTGTTTTAAGAAGCAGCAAAAAAATTGTCCCAAATGAAGCCTAAATCTTCTACTTCCATTAGAATTTTGATAAATTTGTCCAACCATGCCTCCTTAATATTGCATTGAATGTTTATAATGTTATGTTTACCAAAATTTTGGCTTGATAAATGGATTGAAGGTTTCTTTATTCTATCACTTCAAAGAGTTCTTTTACATTGCTAGAAACAAATCTCAAAATATTACTAATTTAGGTCAGCATATTTAATAGAAATTGACTTCATGTTCATCTAGTTGATGTTCTATCATCAACAAAGTCCATCCATCAGACACTTTTTATACACCTACTTCGTTGCTTTTAAAGGCAAGTTTAATGTGCAGTCTATGTATAATTTCTTAATGAATGAAGGTATTACTTCTTGCACTCATTGTATTTAAAATGCAATCCTCCTTAGATTCTTGTTCATATGTGGATAGTTTATATGAGCAACATGCCAAATTTATCTCTACAAGGGCATTCTCAACTCTCATATTTGTTCTTAGTTGACGTTGATATAAGTCATCTGATATTTGTTACTTTTTCTCTTAGTGATTCTTTTCACTTTATTGTACTCTTTGTAGCTACTTTTTTATCCTTTAAGAAATGCTCTTCCCAGCTTTTTCACTAAAAAAAAGCTCTGTAAATGATTGAAATATATACTTGCTGCAAGCAAATAAAACATTTATAAAGTAAAATAAATGCTGTCAAACTTTTTTTTTTCTTTTATCAAGGAAAGAAGAGAATTTTGAAAGTTTCATAAGGAAATACCATGTCTATGCTTAGAAATTCCATATGCATGCATGCCTTCAGAAATTTCTGCATATAGGTTGGTTTCCTTAGCCCCCCTTCCTTCATTGACACGGTTTTTAAAATAATTCAAATGGCAGTAAATAGCCCCAATTTACAACACACTTTAAACATGTATGGAGTTGATATAAATGAAAGGGATGTCTCCAAACCTGCTCCACTGACACCAGATTTTGCATCGATGATAATATTTTTTAATTCAATTAAGTGAGCCTGCAACAAGAGTAAGATTGTTAGTAACTTACTTCATTTCGTTGCACTTATTTCTACACTATCTCAACTAAGATACCGAATCATGGAGATGTAAATATGCAAGCTAAAAACCCCACTAACATTTCTGCACTGCCCCACAACAACAACTATAACATCAAGCCTTTATCCCACCACATGGGGTCGACAACATGAATCTTTTTTCTTCATTATGTCATATTAAGAATCAAATTCTCATTTAAATCTAACAAAAAAGGTCATTACTAATACTTTCTAACCAAGTCTTTTTAGATCTACATCTATCTTTCTTAACATAGGTCATATCTAATATATCTTACTCTCCTAACTTGCTTATCGAAAGGCCGATGTTTTATGTGAGTCCAAATCATATAAGGTGAATCTCTAATATTTTCTGCCACTGGAGCTACTCCAACCTTGCGTAAATAATAGTTTTACATTCTATCTCTAAGTGTAAAGCCACTCATCCACCTAAGCATCCTCATCTCTATAACAAATAACTTAATTTTTTGCTTCTCTTTTAATGGCCAATAGTCTACGACATAAAGCATTGAAAGTCTCACTACCAACATATAGAATTTCCGCTTAAATTTGATGGGCACTTTTGTATCACACAATAGGTTGAATGCATTCCTCCACTTAAACCATCCAACTTGATCCCATCTATTTCATAATCATTTTGAACAATAGACCCAATGATGCAACCGAAAACTCCCAAAACAAGTAGGAGACCCTTGGTCACAAAAAGAAAGGAAAATAAATACTAAACTAAGTCTCCACAAAAAATTGAAGACCATAACATATACTAAATACTTCTTTTATCTCATAAAAATATAACGTACCACTTCAAATATTAAGACACAACATAATTTTTGTAAAACAAAACATTACTTTGATAACTTGAGAAGAAAGATACAGATGTTGTCGAACTTGCAGAGAGAAGAAAGAGGTAAGAAGCCGAGACGAAGGAGAGGACAAGCTCTCAAGCTTTCCTAGAAGAAGAGATGAATGGAACAAGCTTGCAAGCTTTTCCAAGAAAGAAACCCGCAGGTTTAGTTCCAAAAATATCTCACCAAAATCCTCCTTTTTTATTACAAAACACCTTATATTTATAGGGGAAATGGGGCAGCAAAACAACCAAAAATATCCTCATTTAAACCATTAAAATAAGGAAAGATAGAAGGCCAAGGAGCTGTCCAGGAACAGCACCCAAAGAGCACAAAGGGGGCCAGCATTCAATCCAGAAATAGGACCCGAACAGCCACACAGAAAACCAGAAAAGGTAGCCAAGGGGGAAGGAACGGAACATGCAGCCAAAGGGAACGGAACAGGCAGCCAAGGGGGAAGGAACGAGCAGCCACAATGGGAATCGAAACAGACAACCACAAGAGGGGAAGGAACAGCCACGGGAAGAAGAACCAGGAAGGGGAAACCGAAGGGCCACAGGGAAAGGGGAAAGAGCAAAAGACTCTCCTCATAATGAACCAAAAAGGGGAACTACCCAACATAATGAGCTGAAAACACAACAACTCAAGCATTAATTGAGCTGATTTTAGTTGAGGACATAAAAGCTCACCAAAATTACAACCCAAAATATTTTGGCCCCCCTTTTGCTTGCATCACCCAAGATATTTAAAATAGATACTCTTTTTAATGACTTGATCGCCCTGAGTCGCAATCACCCTACTAGATCTATTACCGCTAAAATTACAATATGTATTTGGTTATATATCTATTCAAAAGAAAATCTTAAGACTCTATGGTTGACCTTCATAATTCAAGTTTTTCTTCAACTCCCTTTCTAGTCTTATCAACAAGCAGCATACACTAGGGTAGATTCTCTTGCATGTCTAGTAAGAACATCCATGACTAAAGCAAAACAAAATTGGCTTAAAGCTGGTCCTTGAAGTAATCTAACTGAAATAGGAACATACTTGATCAAACTACCTTTTTTTTTTACCTATCCTTAATGACTTGAATAGAAATATTATTAAATCCTTTTCTAGAACTCTAACACCGCTCCACACCTAAAATAAAAACAAAAAATAAGAGCATTGAAGAAAGAAGATGCTAGGTGGCATTAGCATGGCCGTTTGACTATATTAAGAAACTACAAATGGCCGCAGTTGACCATCCAACCCCAACATTCTCCCTTGGAAAAGCACAAAAACATTAGGCTTGCTTAGGGCTATTGTAGCCCTTGATAAGCAAGTGATGGCTAGGTGTGCTATGTTTATGCATCCTCTTTTTTTTTTTGCAAAAGAATGCATAAGTCGATGAGAATGTAGTTGGATAACAACACGGGTCATGCAAGGCTTCATTATTAATGGAGAACATGTGTTGTGTCTGCAACTGACCCAAGCTCCCCTCCCATTGATGAGAAGTAGGGCATCACAAGAAGTGATGTTCTTTGTTTTGCATCAAACTATACTGCATGCTCCACCACTTATGTGGGCCCCAATCAATTTCTATGAGTTTCATTCTTCTGATACTCCCTAGGAGAGATAATTAATGTGTTAACTATTGCATCGCACAAGGTGAAAAATGCCTAATATCTGCCATTATAAGTATAATTAATTGAGATACAAATTTCCAGTGTCACATAAGTTAGGAATTTCTACTAGATAGCATGTGCCACAAAAGATTTAATTTTTCAGGAAATTAAAAGTCATGAATTTTCAGTTTCTGAATGCTACCCTATGCTGAGGTGGCCATGAAAACAAGTTTTTAGTGCCCCTACATGTGTTTTTAGATCATTAAACTTCATTGGAGAATGCTGTTCCATGGTTACGCTCTTCAACATGTGGAATTTCAATATGGCTCACGCAAATTCCCAATGCTTGTTCATAAAGCTCACTCTCACTACGGCAATACAATTACTCAATTTCTGAATGCCTTTGTCACAAATTGCTGATTGCCTACACTTAACTCGCCTCATACCTCCCTTCAGATCACATTACCTTTATTCAAGGGTTTCCTGGTGGCATTTTCAGCATGATTCGACTAGATCAGTTAGCAATCAAAGCATTGTTCCCCCTTCCTTCTAAGATTTTAAGAGTTGTTTGAGGCAAGAAGTGTCTTCCATTCTTTGTGACAATGTCTGTCCACTCCTTTGTTGTCCTCTAATCCCTCCTAAAATTAACCAGCATTCTTCCATAAACAACACTCTGGAAATCAAGATGCACGTCTCTCAACCCTCTTGCATTATTGTGATCGTCCAGCAAACCTCTATGTTGTGCACCTTATCATTTTTTTGTAAAAATTATTTTAAAAATATGATAATTACAAAGATTTTGAGGTCTTAAAATTATTCTTAGTTTAAGAAATTTAGAGAGATAAGTGAAGCAAGCCCATATCTTCTTTGTTTTGCATCCATGCCTCGTGTTGGCAGCTATGATAAAGCTATCATATGTAAGCAAGCCAACTTATCATTTGGTTGGCACCACTACCCATTGCAGGGAATCATTTCAGCAGGATACCTTATTCCATAATAGACCACTTAGCCAATACCTTTTATCCTTTTGTAACTAACTAATATTCCTTAATAAACTATGTAAATATTTCTCTGAAACTGTAATGGATCGAAGGATTCATTTGCCTGTATTGTATTTTCCTCTTGTTCTTCTTTGTTTTCTCCTTCTCGCAGATTACTTACTGGTATCAGAGCTAAAGGCTTAAGAGCCATCTTATTGATCATATCAATGGCGGACAGCCATATTTCCTCATCCTTGCAAGCATCGTCAAACATGGCAACTGCAAGTGACCTCAGTATTTCTGCTCCATTGAAATTTCTTATCTTCAACACCAAGCACAACTTACCAATGACAATCATGCCATATGGAAGCTTCAAGTTCTCAAAATTTTTGTTGTGAATGGCTTCGATGGGTTTATGTCCAGTTCTCAAATTTTCCCTCCAAAACATCTCTCTTCCTCCACTGATGACATCACCCTCAATCCACGTTATCAAATGTGGTAGCTCACCGATCAAAATCTAGTAGCTGCATTATTCTCTACCATCTCACCTTCCATTCTTCCATATGTTCCAACTCTAAAAACAACTCATGAAATATAGGTCACACTTGAAAAACGACTACAACCTACTAATCATTAAAGAGTAATTCAACTTAAGAATGAACTTCATCATATTACCATGAATGACCTCATTGTCAATCAATACTTGGCGCAGATTAAGTCATTGGTGGACAACATAGCAGCAGTCAGATCTCATATAGACACTGAGGACATTATCTTATACATCTTAAACGGCTTGCCCTCAACCTTCAATGCCTTCAAGACTACTATTCGCACATCCTTCTCTCCTACTAGCTTGGACGATCTTTATTCCCTTCTCTGCAGTGAAGAAATAAATATCCAGAATGATCACACCAAAGAAGCCACTATCCCTGCAGATTCCACAACCCTTAATGCATTCAAAGGCTCCTACAGGGTCCCTTCAGCTGATTCCTTCAAGCTAGTCGTGGTCTCTCTTCTGCACCAAAAACCTCCTCAACAAGATACTTCAGCTCTACTGGTCATCCACCTCGCTTCTCCACAGCTCCCAGGATTATTTGCCAAATTTGTGGCAAGGCTGGACGCTCTGCTATCAATTTTTGGCACCGAAGCAATCTACAATATTCTCCACCCAACTTCAACCCACCATGTGGCTTCTTCACACAGCAATAATCTCCTCCTCTAAGTGATTTGTACTTGGATTCGAGTGCTTCTTCCCACCTCACCTCAGATGCTACCCACCTGCAGCAACCTCAACAATATCATGGCACTGATAGTATCTCTATAGCCAATGGTACAGCCCTCCCAATTCAATCAAGCAGTCAAAGTCTTCTTCCATTACCTCATACACCATGTAAGCTCTACCTCCAAAATCTATTTCGTGTACCATCTCTCATCCACAACCTTCTTTCCATTCACAAGATTACATCTGATAACAACTGTTTTATTTGATTTGATGCTTTTGGCTTCATCATAAAAGAAAATTTGACTAATCAACCAATCCTTATTGGTCGGAGTCGTGATGGCCTCTACTCCATTCCATCTCTAACATCTTCAGCTATTCACACTTCTCATTGATCCACATCTCTCTGGCATGCATGGTTGGGACATCCACATCATCAGCTTCTTCATACTTTAGCTAGACAAAACTCTGCTATTTGTATTGCAAGTTCTTCCTCTTTTTTATGTAACTCTTGTAATGTGGCTAAAAGCCATAAACTATCTTTTACTTCAGGTTCAATAAAATCATTTATTCTGTTTTCTCTTATACACTCAGATGTTTGGGGACATGCACATACTTCTTATTTAAATAGCTATAGCTATTATCCTATTTTCACAGATGATTTTTCCCCTTTTTCATGGCTATACCCTATGCATACAAAAGATGATACATTTCTAAAATTTAAACATTTCCTTCATATGGTTCATACTCAATTCAATGTTAAGATTAAAACACTTAGATTAGATGGTGGTGGTGAATACCTATCCAAAGACTTTCAAAATTTTCTATCTACTCATGGCATTCAGCATCAAATGAGTTGTCCTTACACTCATGAGAAAAAAGACATTCCCGAACGAAAACATAGGCATCTCATCAAAACTACTCGCACTTTGCTTCATGCTTCTCAGTTTCCTATCAAATTCTGGATGAAATCTCTTCTTACAGCAAATTATCTCATTAAAAGACTCCCAACCAAAGCTCTTCATCTCGACAATCCCTAGAATCTCCTCCACGGTTACCAACCCTCCTACACTCATCTCAAAACCTTTGGATGTCTTTGTTATCCATGTTTACGACCACTATCCACAAATAAACTCCATCCTTGGTCCTCAACATGCATCTTTCTTGGCTATTTATCTTCTCACAAAGGGTATCGTTGCTTTAATCTCCTTACCTACAAAATACACATATCTTGTTATGTAGTTTTCTATGAAGACACCTTCCCTATCCAACTACTACTACACAAACCGCAACACCCAACCAAACCTCTAATCAGTTACCCCTTACCCTCATCCCAATCTCCACTATACCATCTCTTCCAACTGCCAACTAATACTCCAACTCGACACTTAACCCCTCCTCATAATCAACCTTATGACCTCTCTCTCCTCAACTACTTCAACCTTCAGCACCTCAATTCACAATCCTACCATCTCATCTCCCACCATCTCATCTCCCACCATCTCAAACAAACAACCATAATATTTCCCAAAATCATCCCATTCCCAGTTCCCACCACCCCATGTTAACCAGATAAAAAACAGGACATTTAAAACCAAAGAAACAATTCGACCTCCTTGCCATCACACAGAATTGGCCAGTCCTCCAACTGAATATCTCTAATGCATTTATGATTAGCAAACTACGAGAGGAGGTATACATGAAACAACCACATGGCTTCGTTGATACAGCTCATCCCGATTATGTTTGCAAGCTCCACAAAGCTATATACGAACTTAAATAGGCTCCTAGGCAATGGTTTCAAACATTTACAGATTTTCTGAAAAAAAAACTCTCGGTTTCAATTTTAGTAAATTTGATCCTTCATTGTTGCTCTACTCCAACAACAACATCCAAATTTACATTCTCATTTATGTAGACGATATTCTTATATCGAGCAATAACAATCGCATTCTATCCGATCTCATTAACAAGCTGCAATCCACCTTTTCCCTAAAAGAACATTTGCCTATATTTTTCTTCCTAGGCATTCAAGTTCTCCATACATCAATCGAATATTTCCTAAACCAATCCTAGTACACTCAAGACATTCTACAAGCAGGCAGGTTTTGCAAACTGCAAACCATCCAACACCCCTATGTTTATCAAGCCTCTTAAAGCCGAACGTGGAGTGCTCTATTCCGATCCTTGCCTTATACCACAAAATTGCAGGATCTCTGTAGTATCTTACAATTACTATATCAGACATTGCCTTCGCAACAAACTCAATTTGTCAACATATGCATAATCCAACAAAGCAGAACTTTCAAGCCCTCAAACAACTGCTCCATTACATACAAGGCACTTATCAATTTGGCTTTCCCATCATCAACGGTGATCTGCATTTACGCTTGTTTTCATACTCTGATTGGGCAGTTGACTCAACGGACAGGAAATCCATCACCGGATTTTGCATATTTCTTGGCAACTCACTCGTCTCCTAGTGTGTTAAGAAGCAAGCAACCGTTGCCAAATCATCTACTGAAGCAGAGTATCGCGCCTTAGCGTCAGCCACATCGGACATTAACTAGTTAAGGCGTCTACTAACAAATTTTCAGACTTTGCCCTCCACTCCTACCACTCTATTGTGTGACAACACTTTTGCTCTTACCTTGGCCAACAATCCGATGTTTCATGCTCGAACAAAGCACATTAAAATAAACTACCATTTCATCATAGAATGCATTATCTCCAAGGAAATATCTATCCAACATATTAACATTGTTGATAAACCGACCGATATACTAACCAAACCATTGCCCTTTGCTTGATTAAGCTCACTCAAAGACAAACTCACAATTCAATCCTTGAATCATAAGTTTGTGGGGGCCTGTTAGCAGCTATGATAAAGCTATAATATATAAGCAAGCCAACTTATCACTTGATTGGCTCAGCTACCCATTGTAGGGAATCATTTTAGCAGGATACCACATTCTAGAATAGACCACTTAGCCAATACCTTTTACCCTTCTATAACTAACTAATATTCCTTAATATACAATGTAAATGTTTCTCTGAAACTGTAATGGATCGAGGGATTTATTTCCCCGTATTGTATTTTCCTCCAATTCTTCTCTTGTTCTTCTCTGTTTTCTCCTTCTCACAGATTACTTCACCTCGAACCTCCTTTACCAATGCACCTTAATCTATTACATGTTATATGTTCTTACCTTATGCATTCAATTAACGGAATCTTCATGCAACAAAGGGTAAGACTATACATCAAACCCTCCTCACACACGATATTGGAAATAGCCAAATGCACTTATTGTCCAGCGGCTTTACATCACATTCGGAAAAGTGCTAGTTTTTTTTAACAAGGTTGCAGACAAGCCAAGATGGGTAAAGTGGATAGAAAAATAAATTTGGCCAACAAAGGATACCATCAAGCACTCACAAAACATCATGAGCGAGTCAATTCTTAATGTTTTACTATCCAAAGTAGTGCTGTAAAAAAAAAAAAAAACTCACAATTTTAAGATACGGGCAAGTTGGTTTTATAGGTTTTTTCATGCTAATTATTTAAAAAAGAAATTTCTAAATTCACAAGAAATATATACAACCCCTTAAAATGCGATTTCAGCCCATCATATTTTAACATGATTTTCAGCTCTAGACGAGGCAAAAAAATAAAAAAATAAACATATGAGACTCTTAAAAAAGTAAATCCTAAATAATCATAAAAAAGCCAGCTAAAATTTTAGTAAACAGTATGAGATATGGCTTAAGAAGTCAAACCTTTATTAATGGAACAAGAGGAAGTTGTACGGACGTCGGATAGCAACCAGGATTGGCAACAAGTCGAGCATCCCTGATTTTCTCTCTCCAAACCTCAGTTAAGCCATATATAGCTTCTTTCTAGATTAATCAAGAATAAGTATTGAAAGAATTACACAAAATAAGGAGAGTAACAAAATGCTGGCTGAATTAGTGCTCAAAGAAAAAATGGTACAATATATAACAAGTGAATGCAATTGCTGCAAGAAAGAAACAGAATATAGTGTATTTGAGAATTCAGTAGTAAAAATATATTAATCATTACAAATTCTTTATAATAGAATAACCAATCAAATTATACTTGCCTATATTCCTACAAATTAACATAGACATAATACCATGTAGAATAAACATATATTATTGCTCAATAGAGGAAACAGTTAAGTGTCGGGAGAATTTAAATTGAGATTGACTTTAGTTGGATACGATATCCTGCACATATATATCAAAACAAGAGGTTGACGGCCAACCTAAGATTTTTTTGCAAGTAAAAACCAAAAGCGTTCAACTCAATGGCTAAGCTTGAAGGTGAATAACTGCTAATATTTGTTCAACAAAAATTCCTCATTGGGAAGAAGAGCAAGGGCTTGAAGGAGAATCCTCGTACCTCTTAGAAAAAAGAGTGACTTAGAAGTCATTTAGCTTCCCTTAAAAGGGGATTCTTTTATAGAGGTGAGAATTAAGAATAGTTTAATACTTTTACAAAGAAGAACAATGGATTAAGTAGATGCATCATCTCTGAGATCCGTACGGAGAAGAACAAGTGATTAGTACTTGGTCCTACCGATCGACTGATTGAAAAGTTGGACATTTTTTTTCTATGAGATCTACGACATACAATTTTTTCCCTTACAATGAAGCACAATTGATGAAGCCCTTAGGTTTTAGGTTATATGGTTGAAGAATAAGATTGATTCATAGGAGTGCTAGAGCATTGGTGTTGGGTATGATTTGAGTTAAATAATCTGATATTGATTGACGCCTAAAGATCTATGTTTGATTCTATGACCTGACAGAAGGCCTTCATTTATCTTAAAGTAGTACAATGGATGAGATTTAGAAGCATCATTGTGATAGGAAATACTTGAGTTCGCAAGTAACCCTAAGGAATACTTGAGTCCGCAAGCAATCCTGATCACAATCGGGGTGGAAAACAGCAGGAAAACTGCTGTTTTCAGCAGTGGACAGCAGGATATCACAGGGAAACAGTGAGAACTAGCGAGAAAACTGAGAGAAACTCAAATAAAGACTTGTATTTCAATAGTGGATGAATAGAAATAAGCAATAAACAATTGTTCTTCAATTCAAGAGGAAGAACAACTCTCCAATCTCCGGCAACGCCAAGAGCCCAAGCAAGAAAACCTAGATCTCAAATTCAAGATAATGCCCCCAATTTCCTCCTCCTCCCCTAATTAACAATAATGGATTCCTACAAATTAACTAATCAACCTTTACATTCAAAATTTTCCCTCCCACTCATGCATTAAGCCCAACGTGGGCCCCATTGGATTTCCACCCCCTATCCCGTCGCCTGGCATAGACCTGGACCGGTCCAGCCGGCCCCTCCTGGGCCGGCGTAACATTACTCTCCTCTCAAAAACTCACCTTGTCTTCAATGTGAAAAGAGGAAAATTTCTCCTTCACTCTTTCAAATGGCTCCCAAGTCGCGTCGAAATCAGGGAGGTCCTTCCATCGAATCAGCACTTCCTTATTGCCCCCTTGATCTGATCTTACCCCTATAAGCTCCAGGGGTTCTAGAATCACTTCCCAATCTTCCGTCATTGATGCTAATAACTCTGCGCTAACTGCATGCTCCCCTAGAGCTCTCCTCAACTATGACACATGAAACACCGGATGTATAGTAGCGGAGGGCGGTAGCTTCAGACGATAAGCCACTGCTCCAATCTTCCCCAAGATCAAAAGCAAAACACCTCAAATATGTTTCCAGGCTCCGGTTAACCACTTGTTTGTCCGTCTGTATGTGGATGGTATGCGGTGCTTCTCTTGAGAATTGTGTCATGCATTCTGAAAAGTTCTCTCCAAAATTGACTGAGGAACACTTTGTCTCTATCCAACACAATTGAATCTGGAATCCCGTGTAATCTAACCACTTCCCTGATAAATGCTGCCTCCACTGATACTACGGTGTAAGGGTGTCGTAGGAGGATAAAATGTGCATATTTACTGAGTCGATCCACCATGACTAAGATGACTGTGAATCCTTCTGAGCGGGGTAGGCCGTCGATGAAGTCCATAGACACTTCCTCCCATACTCTGTTTGGAAGTGCTAATGGTTGGAGTAATCCTCTTGGCGCCATTGTCATGTACTTATTCCTCTGGCACACCTCACATTTTGCCACCATCTCCTCAACATCCTTAAACATCCCCCTCCAGTAGAGCTTTGATGCCAACCTCCTATATGTCATATGTACTCCTGAATGACCCCCAACTGCATTACCGTGGAATTCCTGCAATAGGTGAGGAATGTGTACTCATGTTCGTGGAATCACAAACCTTCCCTGGTATAGCAGCCTCTCTCCCTCCAGATAGTACCCTGAATGGCTGCTACTATCCTTCATCAAACCTTCCTTGATCTTCTTCAATTTTTTGTTCTGCATGCTCTCTTCCTTGATGGCCCCCCAATCAACCATCAAGGGTACTGAAACTGCCACCTCTTGAAGTTCCCCCACAAATCTAGATAAGGCATCAGCTACCTTATTCTCCACCCCCGGCCGTACTGGATCTCAAAATCATAGCCTAACAGCTTTGACAACCACCTCTGACGCTCCTTGGTCACCATCCTTTGCTCTAGCAGGTATTTCAAACTCCTATGATCTGTCCGAATAGTGAAATGCCGTCCCAACAGATAAGGGCGTCATTTCTGAATGGCCAAGACTATGGCCATCAGCTCTTTCTCATACACTGATTTCAATATAGCCCTAGTCGATAGCACCTGACTAAAATATGCTAAAGGCCTGTGATTCTGCATCAACACTGCTCCTAAGCCATATCCTGATGCATCGGTCTCCACTATAAAGATCTGACAGAAATCTGGTAGAGCTAACACTGGAGCTGTCATCATAGCTTTTTTTAACCTCTCAAAAGCTTGGGTTGCCGCCTCTCCCCATAGAAAATTGTCCTTCTTCAGTTGCTCAGTTAAGGGACAGGCGATGGTGCTGTATCGCTTCACAAACCTTCTGTAGTATCTAGTCAATCCTAGAAAATCTCTCAATTCTCTTATGTTCCTAGGCATTGGCCATTTCTGCATTGCCTCAATCTTTGACTGGTCGGCCGCCACTCCCTCTTCAGAAACCACATGACCAAAATATTCTACCCTGGACTGGGCGAAACTGCACTTCTTTAAGTTAGCCTTCAGCTGATGGGCTTGTAGGATGCTAAGAACCTCCTTCAAGTGCTCCAAGTGCTCCTTCATTCGGCTGTACACCAAAATGTCATCAAATAATACTAGCACAAACTTCCTCAGATGTTGTCGGAACACTCTATTCATCAAGGACTAAAAAGTAGCAGGAGCGTTAGTGAGCCCAAACGGCATCACCAAAAACTCATAGTGCCCCTCATGCGTTCTGAATGCCATCTTCTGAATGTCCTCCTCCTTCATTCTGATTTGGTGGTAGCCAGACTTCAAGTCCATCTTGCAAAATACTACGGCTCCGTTCAACTCATCTAGTAACTCATCGATCACTGGAATGGAGAATTTATATGGTATTGTCTCCTTGTTTAGCGCTCTGTAATCCACGCAAAACCTCCGGCTCTCATCTTTCTTTTTGACGAGTAAGACAGGACTGGAGAAGGGACTCACGCTAGGTCTGACAATCCCTGCCTCCAACATCTCCCTGATCAGCTTCTCAATTTCATCTTTATGAATCTTGGGATAGCGGTAGGGTCGAACACTAATCGGCGACACCCCATCCTTCAGAAGAATGGCATGCTCCTGCTCACTGGGTGGTGGCAGACCTTGTGGTGGCTGGAACACCTCTTTGAACTATTGTATGAGTGGTTGCATCACCAGTGGAATGTCTCCTTCTTCCCCCACACTGACCCGCTCCAAGCATTGCAACTCCACTAAGTATCCCCCTCCTACCTCCTGTATGGATCTGATCATGGATTTGAGAAATACTCCTGCCCTCGATAGACCTGTATCCCCCTGGATCATCATCCCCTGTCCTTCCACCATCAGTTCTATCCTCAGAGCACCCCAATTGACTTTAGTCCTCCCCCAAAGTCTGAAGCCATTTCATCCCCAAGATGACATCGGTACTCCCCAACACTAAGGGAAGGAAATCCTCCCTCAACTGGATCCCTTGAATGGACAATACCACTCCCCTGCAAACTCCTCTCCCCATCTCCACCTTCCACGTGCCCATCATCAGTCCATATCCTCCCGTGTCAACTAATTTCACTCTTAACCGATGTACAATTTGGTTAGAGATGAAATTGTGTGTGGCCCCACTGTCGATCAACACCACCACCTCCTGATCACCTATTTCACCCCTCACCTTCATGGTGTGATTTGGTGTGAATCCCACCACAGAGTTTAAAGAAACCTCAGCTACGTCCAGAAGTAGCTTCTCTTCTTCTTCCTCCCCTATCCCGCTCTCGCCTCCCTCCTCAGTTTCCTCGTCATCACAGACGGTGAGAACCTGAAGAGTTCGGTCCTTACACCTATGCCCTGGCATATACTTTTTGTCGCATCTGAAGCACAACCACTTAGCCCGCTTCTCTTGGATCTCCTTCTCTGTTAGCTTCTTAAAATTTCCTCTAGGTCCCCCTCCTCCTGTCCTCTCCTTTGGTGCTTCTCGTAGTCCTCTATGGGCAGTTCCTTTGGGAGCTAGGAAGGTAGTCGTCATCTTGTAGGATCCCCCAGAGCTACTGCCGCGAGCTCCCCTCTCCAGGTGCTTCTGGTCCTCCACCAGCTGTGCCAACTCCATGGCCTCTCCCAAGTCGCATGGTCTCATCACCCTGACGGCTGCCCTGATCTCCGGTTTGAGCCCCATCATGAAGTTCTCCTCCAGCACGGTCTCAGAAAGACGAACCAATCTGCTCGCGAGGTACTCAAACCT